GGTCTTCAAATTTGGGTCTTTTATGACTTGTGGACTTCAACTCCCAGAATTCCTCAGCCAGGCATGCTTGCTGAGGAATTCTGGGAGTTGAAGTCCACAAGTCATAAAAGGGGCAAGTTTGAACACCCCTGCTTCAAACTATCACTAAATCAAGAATTATCTGTAGAATTAGCTCTGCTTAGTACATGGATGTGACTGGACGTTGGACAGTATATAGCAGGGGTGTCAAACTCAATTTCATTGAAGGTCACATCAGCATTGCGGTTGCCCTCAGGGGGCTAGGTGGGTGTGTCCAGGGTGGGTGTGGCCTAGTGGGTGGGCATGGATGGAGTGGGTGTGGCCTACTGGGTGGGCATGGCCAACTCTACATTGTTCGCGTCAAGGGTGCCTGTGGGGTCCTGGGCAGGAGTGGGACAGATGTGAGGGTCTCTGGCAGAAGGGGGTGGGACCAGGGCAAGTGCCAAGGTATGGTCCACTGGAGGAGCCTCACTGTTCCTCTCAGGCCATGCGGGGGGGGGGGGCTTATGGAGCTAAGACTGAATGTGTTTCAGCATAGATGGCCACCACAAAATTGTACATTGGCTTCCAGCTGGCCTGGGCCAGGGCCAGGGCCAAGGCAGTGGGGGCCATTCCCTCACTGTTTCCAGGATGGCTTTGCGGGCCACATGAAACCACTTTGCGGGCTGCATCCGGCCCCTGGGCCTTGGGTTTGGCATGTTCGATATATATAGCAAACGAAAGGAATAGCATAACCTTTTTTTAGGGGATCAAGAAACTGCAGGGATATGTTCAGGTAAGTCCCTAGGACTTGAATTCGACTCCAAGATGGCTTTACTTTAGAAACAAAAGCAAGGATAGTCATGCCTTAAAATATCATCTTTCTTTTTTTATTGCAGGTCAACACTTTTCAAGCTATCCTGGCCACTGATGGAGAAATATCTTTCATCATGCTGAACTTTTTTGACATACAGTGGACCACTGGATTTGGAAACGATGGAGATATCTATACAGGGCTTGGAGGAACCCCCGCTCAGGTAGACTTGGGATAGTTTGAAGGTGCAGCAAGAAAGGCAGGTTTATGTCTGCCCAGGGAATGCAACCTCATTTAATCAAAGTGGACCAATACAAAAAAGTGACCCTTATCTTTCTCGGTTCCTACTTTTATGCTGATGCTTTTGTTTTTCTTATGAGCTTCAGAAAACTTCAAAAAAATACCAACCTCCATTGGATAGCAAATGTCCTCTTCATTATTAAGCAACACCATCCTCAACAACAGTGGCCAAAAAAGAGTAGAGATAGTCCTCAAGTTACAATAGTTCATTTAGTGACGGTTAGAAGTTACAATGGCACCGAAAAAAGTGACTTAGGGTCATTTTTCACACTGATGACCGTTGCAGCATCCCCAGGGTCAGGTGATCAAAATTCAGATGCTTGGCAACGGGTTTATATTTGTGACTGTTGTGGTGTCCCGAAGTCATGTGATCCCCTTTGGTGACCCTCTGAGAAGCAAAGTCAAATGCACTTAACAACCCTGATTAACAACTACAGTGATTCACTTAATAAATGAGGCAAGAAAGGTCATAAAATGGGGCAAAATTCACTTAACAAATGTCTCGCTTAGCAACAGAAACTGTGGTTGTAAATTGAGGACTACCTGTATTAAGAAGGAATGCTACGGCACAGCCAGCAGCGGGGGAGGGGGAGAGGATAGTTCTGTCCAAGTGGTGGGCACACAAGCTGGCTGCTCACACAAATGGAGCACACACGTTCACACGTTCACATGCACAGAGCCTGGCTTCCCCATTGATTTTGCTCGTCGGAAGGTTGCAAAAGTGATTGCATGACCCAGGACACTGCAGCCGTCATAAATATGAACCCGCTGTCAGACATCCGAATGTAAATCACATGATCACGGGGACGCTAAAAGGTCATAAGTGTGCAAAATGGTCATAAGTGACTTTTTTTCACTGGCATTGCAACTTTGAATGGTCACTAAATGAACTGCTGTTAAGTCGAGGACTACCTGTACAGGGTCCACAATTGGATACCGTCTCTCAGAAGTAGCCTAACCAAAGCAGGGTAGAGTGGGACAATTCCCTTCTGTGATATTGATTCTATGCTCCTGTTAACACATCGCAATATAATCCTGCCCTTTTGAGAAGCTGCATTATATGGTTGATACCCGGAATTGGAATCCAACAAGAAAGTTTGTTAGGGTGTTAATTAGAAAGGATGTCATTCTTTACCTCTTCTCTGCCTCTTCCCCAGGCTGGCTTTGACAGCGGGGACGAAGAAAATTACTACAACATCCCTGGTTCTCGAACTGCTGAGATTCTCAATATTAAGGAGACCAGCAATGTTGGCGAATCAGGTCGCTGGTTGTTTCAAGTGGATAAGGCAATCATTGGAGTTCCCACAGTAAAAAGTGATTGCTTAAATAAGTAAGTTGCCAGACCCTCTCTTTTATTTGCTAGGATATATAAATAATTACTAGATCCACGGTCCCTCGCTTATTTTGCTGTTGTTCCTTTTCATCAGGTGAAATCACTTCCGACGCGCACTTCCAATCTGCTCCTCCAGGCCAGCACAGGACAAGTTGAATAGCATCTGCCATCGTTCTCAAATCCCTCTGCTACCCTCCTCAAACAGAAAATTTTCTGGAGCTGCCATTGACTGTAGATTTAGCAATAAAAGGATTGCGCTCACATTGATGGTGTGTCCATTGATGAGCGCAGGGGAAAAAAGGCATGGTTGTTGTGTGTTTGTGTGTGCATGTGTCAGTCTGTGCATATATAAAGGTAGTATGTGTGCTCATGTGATGCTTTTTAGGGGAGTGATAAGCCTAACACTCTGTGAAGTTGGTTTCCTTCATAGGAGATGGGTGTAGATGTAATATCCTAAGCGATGGAAAATGTGACATGGACAGCTATACCAATATCTCCATACACATTGACCATTCAATTCTTTATGCCAGAGGTGTTCAACCTTGGCAATTTTAAGATTTGTGGACTTCAACTCCCAGAATTCCCCATCCACAGATCTTAAAAGTTGCCAAGGTTGGACATCCCTGCTTTACGCAATGAGAACAGGCACATCTTAGTCCTTCAAGGAAGATCAGACTAGGAATCCAATGTCATGTAGGTCAATACTACTAAAGCCTTAGTAACACTCTAACAAGTCTCAATGTTTTCCCCTTTTCTCTCTTTATCTTCATAAAACTAGGGAGGTCTTGTCCAAAACATTTACTTCTGCCCTGGACTCAGTTTTCTTTTAGTTGACTGTTGTCTTGATATGACTGTTCCTACTATACCTCGATATCATTCTCTCTTCCACCTACAATTTAGGAACAACTCTATCGAAATCATCTTATCAAGCAAATCAGAATTTTAACTATTTTTTGTTGTGGTGTCTTTGAATCAATTTCAATAGTTTGGATCACCTGGGCAAGTCTATGATATTTTCTTGGAAACAATTTCAGAGATGGTTCTCCATTGCTTTCTACAACTCACTGTCTCCTGGTTTCTAGCTGATCAGGTTTAATTCCAACACCACCACCGAGCAGTTTGAGTTCATTGCATGATGGGGTCTGCTTGGGAATCCATTGATGTCCCTAAGGGTGATTTTTTTTTTTCATCTGACTCTCCAATGATCCAGGAACAGACCCACTGAGAATCTATTGCAGCACTTCTGACATTCCAAGATTTTTTTCAAGAAAAGAGTCCTTTGAAAAGAGAATCAGGCATAAACTACCAGACCATTACAATCATCTTTATTGCCATGGAATACAGATAAAATAAAAAAAAAATTAGCAAGAAGTTCAGCACTTTATTAGAAGGGCTGGAGGTGCACTCATGTCTAAAATAAAGAGTGAGATAAGCTGGACTGGCAGAAAGCAGCCTGATGGAAAGTCAAATGGCAGGGAAAAAATTTGTCTTCCAGTTTATTTATTTATACCCAGTCGTTATTATTTTTATAAATAACATAAGGCAGCAAACGTACCTAGTACTTCTTCCTTCTGTTTTCCCCACAACAAGAACCCTATAAGGTAAATTGGGATGAGAGAGAGACTGGCCCAAAATCACCCAGCTGGCTTTCCTTCACCAGGTGGGACTAGAACTCACAGTCTCCTGGTTTATAGCCTGGTAACTTAACCACTAAAACAAACTGGCTATTAATTTAAATCATGGCTATAAATTTGGCTGTTTAATTTTCATGGGAGTATATGGCTGCTGAGCCTTTTTTTAAACAATTCCTGAGGACACTGTTACAACCCACATGTCAATTTCTGGAATGTGTTGCAAGCATTAACTGGTTTCACACAACCAGCATAATTTGTTGTAGGCATGCAGCTGGGTGCCAAAAAATATTTTGCTAAGCTCTGTTGAGGTGAGCTTTGGACTTCGCCTTAATCTGTGACACAACTATTGTAATGCAGAAGCTATAGTTTATCCATAACATGTTGTGTAAACCCAGCCGCCTACAGGTAGTTCTCGACTTACAACAGTTCATTTAGTGACCATTCCAAGTTACAACAGCACTGAAAAAAGCATTCATGACCATTTTTCACACTTATGACCGTTGCAGCATCCCTGTGGTCACATGATCAAAATTTGACCGCTTGGCAACTGGTTCATATTTATGACGGTTGCAGCGTCCTGGGGGGGTGTCATATGATTCATTTTTGTGACCTTCTGACAAGCAAAGTCAATGGGGAAGCCAGATTCACTTAATAACCATGTTACTAACTTAACAAGTGCAGTGATTCACTTAACTGTGGAAAGAAAGGTCGTAAAATGGGACAAAATTCACTTAACACATGTGTTGCTTAGCAACATCAACTTTGGGCTCAGCTGTGATCATATGTTGAGGATTACCTGTACAGATTTTCCAACAGCAAACCATAACCTGATGCAAAGTACTGCCCAGTTCAAAAAGAGATATTTTAACCAGCAAGAAAAAATATTCACATTCAGAAGATTATTTACACACACTGCTTTGCGTAGTCCATTAAAACCCTTTATGTTCCACTGGTTAAAACTTCCATGCAATTCCTTTTAAAAGTTTAAGGCTTCAATATGCAAGAGGCAAATGCACTCCAAAATAGCTGCTCTGAAAGAAAAGCAATTCAGGGGTGAAGTGCTGGCTGTTTGCAGTCGAGAGGTGGATGTTGTTGGACACTGGCAGGAGACACATTCTGATAAATGACCACAACCTAATGAAACAAATAACAAAAGCTTTAGGACCACTTTTTGTGCATCCATTCTCATTCCACAGCTCAGAATGGAATTCCTCCACTTTCCAACAGCCTGTTGACTGATTCTATCTGTCCTTGCTTCAAATAAGACTCTTCAGCACTTTGAGAGGAATCTTAATCTTTACTGGAGCATAAAGATAGCACTGTCTCTCTTTAAAGCAGCTGAATCCTTTTCTGATTTGCATGGCTAGAGCTACCTCCAAAGCCCCAGAAAAAGATGCAGCTGCTTTAAATACTTTAACAGAGTTACTGGGTTCAAGCTGTCATACATTTTCAAAACATCTTTTTGGAATTCAGTCTGAAGTGCTAGCTGGACTGTGTACAGATTAGGCATCTCTTATTTGGGTGGTAAGAATCTTTCATTGTCTTCTGCCAATCAGCTGAAATCTGAACTGAGATTCATAAGGTGGTTTGTTTGCTTTAGGTTTATTGCAATATGAGAAACTATCCACTACCATTTATAAGCCAGATTTGCAACACAGTGTACGTGTCAAGCCAGATTTTTCTTTAATTCCCTTATTGCATGCTTAATACAACATGTGAACTACCCCAAATTGGCAACCTTTGCAGCAATCTTTCATCTTTGTTGCCAATGGCATCCTTTAGCCTGAAGCCATAGCATACACGTTGCTTTTATTTATTATTTATTTTTTATAATGCAATTCAGTGTATACATTTAACATATAACAAAACAGCCAAATCTGCAAAATTAATGAGTTATGGTAAATGGAGATGTGGTTCTAATCGCTCTGGGCTTTAGCTTTTTCACCCTCCACTGTGGTCCAAATTGCACCCAGCACAACTCATGCCAAAACAGACTCCATAAGGATTTTATCTTTTTAATGACCATTAATGACTATTAAAATACATATGAATCAAGAGTAACTCAGAATCTCCCTGCAGCAGTACCTCAGTACTCAACTGCTTCAGAACTTGTCGAATTTGGTACTTGACACATTCTGATGTGAAAAAGTTGTCCCAATACTCAGGGTTTGCTGAGTACTTGATGTGCTGTGTTAGGAAGAGGGGGACAGCTGCAGAGAATGGACAGGAAGCCAGCCATGCTGGGAAGGTCACTGCAAAAAGAGGGGGACAACCACAGAGGGCAAGCAAAAGGTCGCCCCTGCTGGGAAGGTCACTGACATAGGAAAAGGAACAGATAGAAAGTTTTTCCTGGCCAAAAAAAGGATGATATGATAAGTCACATGGTTTGTTTAGGACTCGTCCCTTTTTAGTATGTATCACACCTCCCAGAACCAATTAACACCAAGTACCGAGGTACCACTGTATATGAAAACTAGTCTGAGGAGAGGAGGGGAGAAAGGGATGCTACCTTATCCAAGGTAATGCCTTCCAATCCTACTATTCCATATGATTCAACCAAGTAACAAAAGTCATGTTTCTCAATCCATTTCCCTTGATTAACTACCCATCTTCCTTTGGAATCTTACTGTTTCAGGGAAGGTATTTCGGCAAAGCATCTTACATCCAAAAGACGCAACTGAGATGGTGATGCAGAACTCCAGGGCGGTAAACACAGTAAGAATAATCGGTATTCCATTACCGAAATTCTATCAATGAAGCAGAAAAGTAACATATTCATTTTTGCACATACAGATAGGCATATTTATCTCCAATTCTAGAGTAAGGAAGATGAGCTGGATGCCATAGGCAGGCTCTATTACCTAAGGCCATAAGGGGGTTGAAGCAATTTTTAGTCCAAAATAGAAACAATAACAGAAACAGAGTAAGAGTTGGAAGGGACATTGGAGATCTTCTAGTCCAACCCCTGCTCAAACAGGAAACCCTATACCATTTTCAGACAAATGGTTGTCCAATCTCTTCTTTAAAAAACTCCACTGTTGGAGCACCCACAACTTCTGGGGGCAGGTTGTTCCACTGGTTAATTGTTCTATCAGGAAATTTCTCCTTAGTTCCAGGTTGCTTCTCTCCTTGATTAGTTTCCATCTGCTGCTTCTTGTCCTGCCTTCAGGTGCTTTGGAGACTAGGCTGACCCCCCCCTTCTTTTTGGCAGCCCCATAGATATTGGGGGCAATGAGCTATCATTTGGAATGTTATGGCCATGCTCTTCATTTCTTCTCCAATAGATTAATTATCAGAGGCATCTTCGCATTCCAAGCAAAGTGATAACATTTGGAAGTAGCTCAGGCTAACTGGAGCTACTGGAGTATGAGGAGGTACAGCCCAATCAGACTATTTTCAGCCAGTTTTTTTTTCTGTGCCACATATAAATATCTAGGAAAACTTTGACTGCACTGTTTTAGCACTGCCACCTTGAGACTTTGACCATCCCTGAGGACAACCCTGGTCCCTGGTGTAGATGCTTTGGAAAGATTGGGCAAAAGAAAAGCACTTAAATTCTATAGAAATCCCATGGTAATAACCTTTCCGTGGTTAAAACTCTGTTTGGGAGTTTTGGGATATTTTTATACCAGCATGTCCTCCAAAGAAATACATGTGCACTTATGAAGTTCTTTTGTGGAAACTAACTTCTTATGGATGAATTTGGAAAGGTCACATACTTATATAAAAGGGCGTACCTCGATTTGATTACACTTTTCCTTAATTTCGTTTTCAAAAGTACCGCAGTACAAATTCAAACTGTATAGGTAGGGCAAAGCGAAGGTGACAAACAGGGATGCCAGGCCCAAACCAGCTGCTACAGTACTTAACACATTCATTGCCAGCATGCTTTGCACCTAGGGGAGACAAAATAAATGAATAAGCATATGCCCAAAAATGCGCAAGCGCACATACACACACAAAAGCTGGCTATGATGCAACTGAGATTTCTCTGATGATGATAATGATGGGAACAAAATTTCAGTTTGAGATTTGCTTTAGCCAGAAAGAAAGGGCAAGGCTGGTGTCCTTTAAACCCTTGAAAGAGTGGCTCAACTCCTCCTTGCTCCTCTCGAATAGCACAGCTTGGATGCAGCCTCTTTTGCATGGCAGATTAGTCACTGTGAAAGAAGAGAGACAACTTCAATAGGCTTGCTTCCAGGGAAGCAACTGTCTCGACTAACTAGAATATTCCATCAGAGATGGAGATGCAGAACCTCTTTGCCAAAATTCGGCAAAAAGAGATGCGCCAAAGACTTGCTGCTTCCAAAAAGGGAATTCATGGGAGAGACTCTTAAACAAGAAGCCACAAGCATCACGATGCTCCGTTTGATGTTAGCCATCCAGGAACATCAAAAATCCACCAAGTTCCTGTGATTGGCAACTCAATGGATTGTAGCTCTCCACAGCTTCAGATGAGAGGCTTTCTCAACCTTGCATTGCTGGGATCCCACAGATGGAAGCTTTCTGATTAAACTGTGACTTCACTTTTTCTCCAATGGATTAGTTACCAGAGGCATCCTGGGATTTCGAGCAGCTGCCACAGCTAAGGATCCGGAGATGATGTACTGGTAAAAAAGGAAAAGAAGGTGAACCACTATGGCTCTATCCCCAGAGAACTAGATTTACAGTACAGACCCATAATCTCTCTTCCACCTTAAATTGCTGTCTAGTGTCATTGCCTATTGTTCTCTGGTCATTTTTTGTATTGAAACCTAATCTACTTTTTCTATTCTAGTTGAAGATGCAGCTGCTTTAAGGTGTCACAGCCAGGAGCTACAATCATTGAATTTTTGTGCAACACAGCACTATTATTCAACTTTTTCCCCCATGTTGCTATGACAAAAAGCAAAGCTCTGGATGCTGCAAATAACTCTCAGCTTCATGATTCCAATGGAAGGAAGCCCCTAGGACAGTGGTGGCAAATCTATGGCATGGGTGCCAGAGGCGGCACGCGGAGCCCTCTCTGTTGGCACGCGCCATCGCCCCAGCACATGTGGTCTCTAAATGTTCGCCATCACTGGCCTAAGGCCAGCCAGCCTAGAGCCGCCATTGGGGAGCCCACCATCCCACCTGACAGAGACCCCCTAGATCTCCCCCAACCCTGCCCAGCTCCCACAGATGTCCCTCCCCATAAGCAACATCAAGGTGGCCACCCCGGCCATGCCCACCCAATCTGCCATGACTACTGCAGCCACACCCATCCTGTGGCCACGCCCACCCAGTCTGCCAAGCCCACTGTAGCTGTGCCTGCCGAGTGGGTCACACCCACCCAGCACCCGGCGATATATAAGTGGGTTTTGGGTTGCAGTTTGGGCACTCGGTTTCTAAAAGGTTTGCCATCACCGCCGTAGGAAGTGTAGCTACAGAATGACAACTTATATTCAGAATATTTATAAAGACAGTCTTCACTTACCCACCACAATTGGGACCAGCACCTCTATCCCTAAATGACGCAGTTGTTAAAGCATGATATTGCATGATCATGCTGATTGATGACCTTACATTCAGATGCAGTAATTAAGCATATCAAATTGGCTGTGAAGTGCAACTTCATGTTATTGTGACTTGTGACCAACCTCCTACTGACTTCCCTATTGATTTTACTAGTCAGAAGCCAGCTGTAAAGATCACAAATTGCACACACGTAACCATGGGATGCTGCAAAGGTTGTAAATGCCAACCAGCCAGCTGCCAGGCGTCTGGATGGCAATCACATGACAATGGGGATGCTGCAATGGCCTCAAGATCAAAGACTGGTTCCAGCACCATTTTAACTTTGAATGTTTGCTGAATGAGGCAGCAAGTGAAAAGCAACTGTACAATAAGAACAAAAGATGATACTTCTATTAGTATTTGTAGGCTCTTAGTTCTTAAGTTTCTGAAACTTGGGAAAACAGATATTGCCACAAAAGGGAATTAGTCAAGCAATTCTTTTCCTAAAGCAAAATCTGTAAAAAAAAAAAAAAAAAATTACAGAAGCCAACAGCTGGCAAACTACAGCTCCAAGCAACCTTCAACAAAGGCCAGTTTGCCCTAAGACTGCTGTGATGTGCTAGTTGTGCTAGTGGTGTTGTTGAATTGTTTAAATGCACCATCATGTAAAATTACCAAGATTCCACTCCAATAGGGCATCCATACAATAAGGTAGAAAATATCACGTTTGTTAACTATGTCGATCAACATTCCAAAAATTATTCCTATCATTCCTATGAATATCTGTGCGATCTGCAAAGAGAGAAAAAAAAAAACCCAAAGCCTTCACTTTCAACCCACACACCACAAACCAGAACAACAGAGTAGGAAGGAAACAAGATGCATGCCAAAGCCTATATAAAATTTTATACCCTTCCCTCCAAAAATCTTTGAACTTTAAGAAAACAATACAATATTTTAAAACAGAATATCTAATTATAAATGCAATTCAACTGTGGCTGCTACAACCTTCCCATGTTCAGTGATATTCAAGAGTAGGGAACCAAAAGAACATCCAGCATCTCTCGGCACTGGCAAATGGTTTTATTAGAATTGTTCAATAATCTCTGGAGAACCTATTTTTCATGTCATCTTAAACTACTGGCCAGTAGGAGGCACTACACAATCAGTTTCATCCTGGTTTGGGGCTCATCAGGCATTCTCAAATCAGTGTGTGTGTGTGTGTGTGTGTGTGTAGATAGAGATGATATAGAGATATATAGAGATATAGAGATATAGATAGATAGATAGATAGATAGATAGATAGATAGATAGATAGATAGATAGATAGATAGATAGATAGATAGATAGATCGGCGGAGCAGGAGGTGATGAGGAGGCAGACCGGACTCATGGGCATCAGAAGAGGGCACTTAACCAATGTGGACAGCGATGCCAGCACGATGGAGGAGCGACCAGCTGAAATGGCAGTATCGCATGCGGAAGAGTCACTTGGGCGGCGAGGCAATTGTGCGCAGCAAGACGAACACTCCCTGCAGGCGGGGCGAGTGGAAAGAGGCAGAGCGCCAAAAGTCAAACAGCCGTCAGCCAGCCCGATGGAAATAAGATCGATGCAATTGATTGCGGGAGGGCGGGGGCCGAATAGACCCATAATGCGCTCATTATCTAAACTGTTGGCTTCACAGAGACTATAAGAACGTGCCTCCCATTCCTGGGTTACACTCTGACGACGTCAGCAGGTGCTGACAAAAGCTCAGTTTTAATAAAAAAAATTAGTCTCGGTGATCCGTGTTTCCAGTTTTGTTAGATACAGATACAGATACAGATATACATACATACATACATACATACATACATACATACACAGAGAGAGAGAGATCACGTGATATCGCAAGTTTCACATGTCTGATATCGAGATACACACACACACACACACACACACACACACACACACACACACATATATATATATATATATATATAGAGAGAGAGAGAGAGAGAGAGAGAAATACAAAGAGAAGGGATTTTTGTGTTAATTTTATTTTTCTGGGCCTCATGCTACAGACCTCAAGATCACCTTCCCTTAAGGGGGAGGGGATTATATAGCTTTTACATATTTCCTTATCTGGTCAGAATAACAAATGGTTAAGAATTTTCATATGTGCATAAACAAAGAATCCTCATGCTCCTATTCCAACAGAAGATGGGGACCATGGGATTCTCAAAAAGAGAGACTGAACATTCCACTCATCTCCATACTCACCCCCAGGGCCAGAGGTTCACCCTGATAAAACTTTTTCACCGGGACTGGAAGATCGGTCTTAGTGGTGAAAGGCAAGGATTCTGGGCCCGTGACCACAACAGAATCCATACTGGGGTCTGCAAGAAGGGAGGCTCCTTTAGGACATCAAAGTCAGCAATGCTGGGGACCATAGAAAGGAAGGAAAATGGAGAGTATAATAACATAGTAAGTATTATAAAATATAAAACATATGATCCCCATTTTTAATTTCGCAGTAGTTAGGTCCTGCATCAGGAAGCTTAGAAGGAATGTACTTTACATAATTTTTTATCCTTAATTGGCAGCATTTTTCTTCACCTACAGTAGTAGACAGTGGCCTAGTGGTTACATATTCCTAAGATGGAAATGCAGTTATTTTCAGAATCTTCACAGCCAGACTCTCATATCTTTGGGATAAGAGCAAAAAGAGAATCTTCCATCTAAGGCAAGGAAGGGCATTCAGGTCTGCCCCTCCAACAATATTAGACAGATGAACTTCTAAATGAAGTGTGATTGTGTATTTGTCTGATTGAATTGAGGTTAGGAACTATTTTTGAGGATAAGAAACATTACGAAAAGTCAGGCCTGAAGATCAGCTTGGTTTATTCACTGCACAAACAGAATCTTTGCAATTTGCAAACCATGTTTAGACCCAGTTTAGCGTTTGGTGAAGCAGGACTGACAGCTTCTTCAACAGACTTAAAAATTATTGCTCAAAAATTTATATGGCTGCCCAATTCATTTCTGATTACTCCAGATAGCTGACACAAATATGATGATAGATCAGAGCCTCATTAATGTCTTCAATGCAGCTTCCATCCTTCTATCAAGAGCCAAACAAATTAATTGCAGGCGAGCCCCTATTACAGGAAGCATAGAAAAATAGCTTTCCTGGGAACAGCTTACAATCTGCAGTGGCATCTTCAAACAACAACTTTTGCCCATCCCAGGTCCTGACTGGATAGCTAGCCAAAAATGCCAAATCCAATCTATAAACATCTGGCTGATTGTGCAACCAACCATAATAATAATAATATACAGAAGGAATAGGCTAAAATACCAGTCAAATGCCAAATTCATGCTAATGGTAAGGAGAGAGACCAACAATTCAGTGCATTGGATCAAGTATGTCCCACTACAGCCAAATCCCACGTTTATCTCAGGCATCTGTGCCAACCCAGATCCAACAGTAGATAACTTTTAGAATTTAGATGAATGGAATCATCATCATAAGGCTGCTAGGTCCCCTTTAGCAATTCCCCAGGAGTTTCTCCACCCTAGACATCAGCACTTCAGAGGCTGAACTTCCTCAATCCACCCTACACACACACACACACACACACACACACACACACACACACACACACACACACACGACAGTTTGGCGTTCGTGGGACCTCAGCTGGATTGACGCAACCCGATTTAACGCCCTTACTTCATTCACTTGCTTGCGAAGTACGCCGAATCGTGTCAGCAACAGGGCTGAAAAACGCGCCGAGGCAAACAAAAAACAAAAAAAACCAAAACCCAGCTTCAAACTCACACATTTAAAACCTCGCCCAAATGCAGCTCCTGCGTTCCACCAAACAGGTTAAACCTGAAGGGCCACTCAGAAGAAGCCCCGCAAAGTAGCGCTCCGAGCGCGCGTTGGGCCATCGCTCGGGGGCTGACACGGGTCGTGAGAAACCAGGAAACGGGGTTCTCTAACAAAGCAACGCGCGTTCGAGAAGCGCCCCCTCCCTCCCCGCGCGCAAAGACGCGCCATTCGGATCTGCCCGAAAGAAGCGGAGAAGCGGATCCGGAGGCGGCGTCTGCCTGCGAGCTTCTGCCGCGCAAGAAGCCCTCTCCCTGCCCACCGACTACCGCCTCCAGCGGCTTCGAAAGGAAGGCGAAGAAGAGGGAGCCAGCCGGCTGCCTCCCTTCCCTGCCTCCTTCCCTGCGTTTCGGACTGAGGCTGACCCATCCGCTCTGGCTTGGCTCGGCAGCGCCCCGTCTCCTCGTCCGGCGAAGCCGCTGCTTAACCGCGGAGCTGAGCGTCGCCCGTCCGGGAAGGAGGCGGTGATTCACCCCGCCGGAATGGCATCGAAAGGCGGGGCTTTCCGACTCCTTTCCCTTCTCCCGGGCCAGCGATCTGTGCTGCGAGCGAGCGGAGCGGAGCTTCCTCCAGCGCCGAGTTCAATATTGTTCCCTTCGGCTTCTTCCATGTCCAACTTTGGCTTCCGTTCCAGGGAATAATTGCCATGGTTTGCTTGAGAATTCTGATCGACAGAAAACATCGCAGCATAATAATAATATTTTATTGATTTTCTATTTGTTACATTTCATGAGTGCTTAGTAAACAACGTGTTCTCTGGGTTCATCTCTTATATTTAGTTATACAAGTTAAATTCTTACTCTCTAGCCCGTTTTTCCAGCCATTGATAAAATAAGTTCCACGTTTGAAAATGCGTTTGTATCTTCTTTTTCTTTAATCCTTAAAGTTTGTCCATTTCAGCACAGCCTAGTATTTTCCTGATTATTTCACCGTCCAATAGTGTTTCTTCATTTTTCTAGTGCTGGGCAAATACAATCCTCGCTGCTATTAATATATGTAATATTAAATATGCACTTTGTTTATTGATTTTTTCTGGAATTATATCTAATAAAAAAAGTTCAGGTTTAAAATCTATGTGTTGCCCTAACATTTTTTTCTAACCAAGTATGTATTTTTGTCCAATGCATCTGGGTATCTTTTAAGCCTTCCAAACATGTTTGCTGTAAACAACAAGGGCCAGCAAAGAGAGAGAGAACAGTCTCCAAAACAATGGTATCTGATTTGAATTTTTTTATACATACATACATATGGAAAGCTTTCTGCTTCTTCCCCTTTGAATGTCTGGGAGGGCAGAGTGGTCCTGTATACATTTATCGGAAAGTGAGCACTTCATGATGGATGGGTTGACCAAACAACCAAATGCAGAAATGGAATCCATTGGGAAGAATCCAAGCTCTCTCTCCTGTTGTCATTAAGTAGAGCAGAGGCTGCCTTAGGGATTGGGAAAGGCCCTGGGAGACCTAACCCAGGCCAGCATGGCAGCACCTGCCCAGCTCACAAATGGCCCACCCCAGACCTCCCCCACTCCCTGAGGCACCTTTTGCACAGCTTCCTACCCTACTGGATCCCATAACTTTGGGCCTCCTTCCCACCCACCCTCGTCCCGATCGACTTTCAGAAAGAGAAGCAGTTGTTCCACCATGTAGTCTTTCTATTCAGAGGCTGTGCCACGCCATCTCAGAAGTGGGCACTATCTTGACAGCAGCCTCAATTTTCAGATGGCAAGAACTGTGGCTCCTTGCAAAAGGGCACCCACTTCTGGGATTCCGGTATTTTGGAAAAGATTCTGACAAGGTGCTTTGGAATGCATGGGAATGTTAATGTGGTGCCTTTAAAGCAGCCATGTCTTTTCTTGAGATCATTGCACAATTCTGGGAAAAGACAAAGCTGCTTTAAAAGAAGTACCCTGTTTTATTTATTTATTAATCAAATTTATACACCATCCATTCCACTATTGAAGTGACTTTCAGTGATATGCAGATAAAACAAACTAAAATCATACAAAAAGGATAAAATTAAAAGAAAAAGTTAAAAGGACAAAGTTAAAGAGAGATAGGGAATACCCCAAACTACCAATCATTCCCAGAGTTACCTATTGTTCTTAGATCCCTCTGCTAGTTGACAAAACCAGATCTTGATTTTGGGCTACAGAAGATTTTGAACTTCTTCTGGAAAACCAGAAGAGGGTAGAATGTTCCATAGGGTGAGGAGAACAATGTAATTGGTGCCACACCTATCTAAACCAGAGTCCTACAATCATCTTTATTTCTGCGGAATTCAGAGAAAATAAAAATGGCAAGTGACAAACTTAGCAATTTATTAGAAGGTGTGGCATCTCCATGATCAAATCAATTTCTGGAATGTCTTACGAACATTAATTGGACACAAGGCCTTCAGTTTTAAATTCTTCTCACAGCTGTAGACTACGCTAGGAAATACTATTTAAAAAAAATAGCCGCAAATTATTTCTGCACATTGGTCAGAATAACTGCATAACTTGCAGTCATACTCAATTCAAGAACAGGTTGTCGAATGCATCAAACCATACATTAATGATGATCAAACCCAGGTTAAAATGAGCATTTTCCAACAGCAAACCATAACTTGGTGCAACATGCCAACCAGTTCATAAAGAGACACTTTAGCCAGCCATAAAGAATATTCAGATTCTGAAGAACTTTTATGCATGATGCTTTGTTTAATCCATTGTATTATTCGTGATCCTCTGATGAAAAAGTTATATGCAATTCCTTTAAAAATTTAAGGCTTCAATTGATAGGAGGCAAATACGCTTCAGAATAGCTACTAAGAAGGGAAAGTCCTTAGCTTTCCAACAGCCTATTGACTAAGTCTGTCCTTGTCTAGCACTACCTCTCTTTAAAGCAGCTATATCCTTTTCTGGTTTTGCATGGCTGGCACTGCTTCCCAAGTTACAGAAAGAGATGCAGCTGGTTCAAATTCTCCTGCACGTTCCAAAGCACTTTTGGGGGATTCAATCCAAAGTCCCGCTTGGACTGTGTTTACATTAGGCAGTACTTAATTGGATGGTGAGACTCATACTTCTTCCTCTGTCAATCAAAGATGGAGACTGGGTTCACTGAGATTTGTAAGGCGTTTTGTTTTCTTTGCGTTTATCACAATACGAAAATCTATCCAGTGCCATTGATAATCCAGATCTGCAATGTAGCATATTGTGGGAAGCCTAATAATTTTGTTCTTTTACAGCACTTAGTACAACATGTGAACTAGAACATAAGTTTACTGGCAGGCCAAAATCCATCTCCCTTCTTCCTTTGGAATCTTACCGTTTCAGGGAAGGCATTTCAGCAAAGCATCTTACATCCAAATGATGCAATGGAGATGGTGATGCAAAACTCCAGGAAGGTGAACACAGTAAGAATAATTATTATTCCATTCAAGATGTTCTACAGGTATCAATGAAGCAGAAAAGTAACATGTCATTTTCTATACATGCAGATAATCACATTTATCTCCAATTGTACAATTATAAAGTAAGGAAGATGACAACGAGATATGCAGGCTCTGTGGCCTGGCCAAAAAGGGAAAATGAAGTGTTTTTGAAGCCCAGAGCAATGAGATAATACTTGGAAATGGCTCAAGCCAACACCTCCCTAATTCACTGCCATTTAAGAAGGGGGAGAAGGGAGAGCCCAATCACTGGCAAGATTCTGTATTTACAGCCAATTTCAACCCAAGTAATTGTAGCCTTTCTGCAGAATTCTGAGTAGTATAAGTAGCCCAAAATCAGAATGGGCTTTTGCCACAGACCACACAAAAGTTGCAATCCATAGTTCTGTCAAAAAAAAGAAGTTAGGATTTGATGGGGGGAAAAGTCAAATGCAAACCACAACAGCACAAAGCTCTGGCTAGATTTTTTTTTATGCCACACATAAAAAATCTGGCAAACCTCTGATTGCACTATCACAGCCACTATCTTGAATACTTGGCCTTGCCCAAAGACAGCCCTTGTTGAAAGTGCTTTGAAAATTTGGGCAAAATAAAATATAAGAGACCAAATTCTAGAAATCCCAAGGCAAAATTCCTGCCCCTCCTTTCCATAGCTAAAACTCTGTTTGGGACATATTTTGACACCCCCTCCCCACATTCTCCAAAGAATTATACCACCAGCTAGAGATCCCCATGGCCTCCCTTCTCTGCTTTGTTCAATCAACTTCTTACAAAGGAATTCTGGGAAGCCACAAACTTACAAAAGAGGACATCATGGTTTCGTAACATTTTCCCTTAGCTTCAGTATCATCATGATTACAAAGATGCCTGACATAGAATACTAAGTTGTAGCTGAGGGTTACAAACAAGCATATGATGCCAATGCCAGCTGCAGTGCTACTTATCGCATTCATTGCCAGCATGCCTTTCACCTAAAAGGGAGAAAATAAATTAATAAACACAAACACAAAGAGACACTGTGTTGCAACCCAGATTTTGGGTTTGCTTTAGCTAGAAAAAGTGAGGCTTATACAGTGAGGAAAAAAAATATTTGATCTCCTGCTGATTTTGTACGTTTGCCCACTGACAAAGAAATGATCAGTCTATAATTTTAATGGTAGGTTTATTTTAACAAGGAGAGACAGAATAACACACAAAAAAAAAAAATCCAGAAAAACACATTTCCAAAAAATTATAAATTGATTTGCATTTTAATAAGTGAAATAAGTATTTGATCCCTTTGCAAAACATGACTTAGAACTTGGTGGCAAAATCCTTGTTGGTAATCACAGAGGTCAGACGTTTCCTGTAGTTGGCCACCAGGTTTGCACCCCTCTGGGGGGGATTTTTGTCCCACTCCTCTTTGCAGATTCTCTGCAACTCATTAAGGTTTCAAGGCTGATGTTTGGCAGCTCGAATCTTCAGTTCCCTCCACAGATTTTCTATGAGATTAAAGCAGTGGTGGGATTCAAATATGTGAACAACTGGCTCTCTGTGTGGATGCCGCTTCCAGAAGTCCATTCTGGGCCTGGGCAACAAAAAATTAGCTACCGGTTCTGCCGAAGTGGAGCAAACCGGCTGAATCCCACCACTGGATTAAGGTCTGGAGACTGGCTAGGCCACTCCAGGACCTTAATGTGCTTCTTCTTGAGCCTCTCCTTTGTTTCCTTGGCTGTGTGTTTTGAGTCATTGCCATGCTGGAATACCCATCTACAACCCATTTTCAATGCCCTGGCTGAGAGTAGGAGGTTTTCACCCAAGATTTGATGATACATGGCCCCGTCCATTGTCCCTTTGATGCGGTGAAGTTGTCCTGTCCCCTTAGCAGAAAAACACCCCCAAAGCATAATGTTTCCACCTCCGTATTTGAAGGTGGGGATGGTGTTCTTGGGGTCATAGGCAGCATTCCTCCTCCTCCAAACCACAGCAAGTTGAGTTGATGCCAAAGAGCTTGATTTTGGCCCCACCTGACCACAACACTTTCACCCAGTTCTCCTCTGAATCATTCAGATGTTCATTAGCAAACTTCAGATAGGCCAGTACATGGGCTTTCTTGAGCAGGAGGACCTTGCGGGCTGCAGGATTTCAGTCCTTCACGGCGTAGTGTGTTACCAATTGTTTTCTTGGTCCCAGCTGCCTTGAGATCATTGACAAGATCCTCCTATGTAGTTCTGTGCTGATTCCTCACCAATCTCATGATCATTGAAACTCCACGAGGTGAGATCTTGCATGGAGCCCCAGACCGAGGGAGATTGACAGTTATTTTGTGTTCTTCCATTTGCAAATAATCGCACCAATTGTTGTCACCTTCTCACCAAGTTGCTTGATGAAGTCTTGTAGCCCATTCCAGCCTTGTGTAGGTCTACAATCTTGTTCCTGACATCCTTGGACAGCTCTTTGGTCTTGGCCACA